CACATAAAATAAAAAATTTATATCTTTATGTTTGAAGCCTGAAATGTGGCAAAAGGTTGAAAAGTTCAAGGGGGCCGAATACTTTCGCAAGGCACTGTATATCTCTACCTATTCTTCCGCCAAATTTTGCACAAAGAGGGAACTTCTCTCTCCGCTCGGCCACCTCAATTACGCCATGCGTATCATTCCTCAAGGACGGTCTACCTTCTCAACCTCGCCTCTTCCGTGCCCTCTCTTTACCACCACGTAAGCCTTTCAGCCGACTGCAAATCCGAGCCCAGGCTCTGGCAGCTTCTCTTGGCCAACTGGAATGGCATATCTCTCTTCTACAATGACCTCCTCTCTGACACCGAGGATATCCAGCTTTTCACAGACGCAGCCCCCTCAGTCGGTTTCGGAGGCTATTACAAAGGCCAATGGTTTGCGGCCCCTTGGCCTCCTGAATTCTCTTCAATCCCTCTCGCCAACCGGTCATCGGCCTTGTTAGAAATATTTCCAATTGTCGTTGCCGCTTCTCTTTGGGGCCACAATTGGAAATAAAAATCCGTCCTCGTCCATTCGGCCATCTATGCAGTAGTTCATATAATCAACAAAGAAAGGCCTTCATCCCAATCTATCATGAAATTCCTCCGCCCCCTTAAATGGATTTCTCTCACACATCAATTCATCCTCGTAGCTGCTCACATTCCAGGCCACCCTAATGAGATAATTGACTCTCTTTCTCGCTTTCAATGTCAGAAATTCAGGAACTTGGCACCAGATGCAAGACCGAACCTGTGCACAGTACCTCCCTATTCGGAACTCACATTCCTCTGAATCATCCTTTCCATCACTTTCTCCAGCTGGCCCAGCAAACTATCCTCTTAGGGATTGCCCCTTAAACTCTCAGTCCTTACTGGGTTACCACTCACCCTGGGTTGACCGCACTCTTGAATCTTTATTCTTGTTAGCCTTCTTCATCTTCCTAAGGTGCTCCGAAATTACTGCTGCTTCCACATCCTTCGATCCTTCTTCTCAACCCTGCTTATCTGACATCTCCATCTTATCTTCCGATACACTGACCTTCTATCTCAAGAAAAGCAAAACCGACCAACTCAGATCCGGCACTCTCATCTATTATTTCAAACTCAGTTCCTACATAAGCCCTTACGAGCCTCTATCCCATTACGCACATCTTTGCACCTCTGCCGGATCTTTGCTTACTGCCCCTCTGTTCGTAAACGAGAAGGGCCGTATCGTGATACCCTCCTGAAAAATTCTCCGGGCACTCCTTTAGATCAGGGGCCGCATCCTCCGCCCCTTGCCAAGGCATACCCGAGTATCTCATCAAGCAGCTCGGCCTTTGATCCTCCGAGGCTTACCATGCATACATTAAAACTAACCCCGGTATCCTCAAGATGGCAGTTTCTCTCCTCGGCTGAATTAGTCCAATAATCTTTTGTTTTTTCTGCACTGGTGACTGGGGGTCCCGCTTGGTTCTTTTGGGGTCCTATCCTCCCCGTCCAACGGCCGGGAGGTTGGCCCTCAGCCAAGCGGGTTATGCCAAAACTCCACATCCCAATAAACGATTCTAATTTCTCCCAAGCTTTCGGCTGCTTTAATTCCTCATGAAATTGAGTTTTTAATGAAAGTTCGGGAGGAACTAAGGCAGCCGCGCTCATTCGACATAGCTGCTGCAAATCTCACTAATCCTGACGTAAGCAACCAGTCTCCATATATATCAAACGTCACCCTCTCCTCTTCCTCGTTCGTTTTCTGCATCCCTCCTCCACCCCCTCTCCACCTTTGCAGCTACCCAATTGGTCACATGGGGGTCCTATCCTCCCTGTCCAACGGCCGGGAGGTTGGCCCTCAACCAAGCGGGTTACGCCAAATCTCCACATCCCAATAACAGTTTTAATTTCTCCCAAGCTTTCGGCTGCTGTCATTCCTCGTCAATTATAATATTGTTTGTATCATTTTGTTTTCAACTTTTTTCACCTTGTTTACACAGGCTCTCTTAACTAAATTCATATGATACTATACATATCCATTTCAGATTCAGAAATGTTTTTTATCTTATTTCAGCACCAGTTCACATTACAATACTTCACATTTAAATAATTCCACATTAAAAAATGTATCATGTGAGCTATTCATTGGTATTTCTTCATTTAAGTTACAGTATAGATATTTACAATGGATTTGTCAATATGCAATATCACCATGAATTTCCAATAATTTTTGTATTTACAGATTCAGGATCATGAGGAATATCTAAAATACCACCTTTATGATAGCTTAAAAGAAAAGGGGTCATTTTTACTTTGAAACAATATAAACAGAATTTCATTAGGGTGAGAAAATCACATGACACCTTCTACTGTACATCCAAGTCAAGGCTGTAACCCAGGTGTAAGACTTCTGTGACGACAAAGGAGTTAGATATTGATTTAACCATTCATCAGAGGGCTTATTTAGTTATGAAATTGTGTCTTTTTTACTGAAAGAATATCAACTGGATTAAGCCTTCTGTCATTGTAATCATACTTGTTTGCCAAAATAATTATGCTGTTACCAAGATTAACAGTAACTATTTGCCAAAGGCCACAATCATCAGTCATAGAAGAAATAACTTACAACATTATGAAGTAAAACAGCTCCCCTTATGGGATGATTGGATCAATGACCAATAATAATTTCTTCATCCCAATGAAATTTCAGATTGTGTTTCTTAGAAAAATTGATTGAATTCAATGAATTGTAAACCAGCATTATTTTGTCTATATTTCTTAAATCCCCCATATCAAGAGTAAAGTATAATAAGTAACAAGTACACCAAAGTTGAATAAAAGATTTGACAATGTGATATCGCCTTAACAAAGTAATACCAGTTCCCACAAACTCTAATTCTAACCTGAGCAAAGTGACCTTAGTTGAAAATAAGAGGATAGCTGGAGTACTTTCAAAAATTCAACAAGCATTGATCAGTCACTTAATGTTCCTATGAATAACCATTAAAATGAGGCCTGTTTACTTTTCGATGTGCTTTTAGTTCCATAGGACATAACTCTGTTCTCGGTTCCTTCAATGATTTTGTCAGGTCCTCCAAAAACTGGTTGGCTCATCTTTTTTGCTTCAGGTAAAAATCAGGTAAAATTTTCTCCCTTAATGTAATCCCCCCTGTCCCCTGATGTTTTCACTATCTTTTTCGAGTTGAAGTCAAAGATCCGATCTTTTCTGGTTGCGTTCCAAGTCCATGCATGCTCCTGCACTACCACAGACTGCCTTCCCATTTCAGTCAGTGTCTGATTTACACCAGCTTTCACACCATGAGACCTAATTTCTTTGCAAAGAAAAAAATGATTGTTGACAAGTTTGCAATCCACACGATTTTTGTTTAATTCTTTCTTAAAACTATGAAAATATAAGACAATTACCTATTTTTTTGAATAGAGCAAGTAAAGGTTTATTCCATGCTGAAAAGACCAGAGAGAAAACACAATGTTTCGGCTATGGAGTCTGAATCATCCTCCTTCAGATTCTCCAATTCAGGGTTGCTTAGGAGCCACTGCCTATCCCAGCAAGAAACAGATACAAGGTGGGGTAGGGTACACACTGAAACTGACACAGACACACTCATACCAGGGTCAGTTTTGCAAGCAGCCTATTAAACTATCAATATGTCTTTTGACTAAGGGAGAACAGACAAACTCCATGCAGATCCTAGGACCCCAGCACTGCGAGACAGCAATCCTAACCACAGTATCAGTACAGTGAGCTCCAACTTTTTAATGATTTCCAATTTCAGGGCACCAAATGATACATTTTTACCATGGACATCACATCTCTTTACACCGTCATTCCCCATAATGATAGCCTTACAGTCCTCAAGCACACGCTGGACCAACGCACAGTGCTTGATCCACCCACCCACATCCTGGTACACCTTGCAGAATAGGTTTTCACACTGAACGCATTCTCCTTCAATAATCTTTTTTACCAACAGGTGAGTGGAGTTGCCATGGGCACCAGAATGGGACCCAGCTATGCCAATATTGCTTCTTCACTTCCTACACTGGCTATGTCCCTGACCTCTACAATTGATATATTGATGACTGCGTCGGTGCCGCCACATGCTCCAACGATCAGCTTGAGTGCTTCCTGCAACATTTCACCAACTTCCACCTGTCCCTCAAATATACAGTTAACATATTGTAACGCAACGGGGTTCAGGTGGGCGCCCTTGCCGCATTAGGTCGGCCCCGCACCATCGGGGGCTCGAACCCGGGATTCCCGCGTCACTCAACAAGGACCCAGCCCGGTGAGCTAAAGAGAGAACTCTCTACAGCCCAGGGGCTGTGGTCCTGCTATTACAGGGAAGGGCGGCTACGTCACCGCTCTGGTAAGCCGGCTCTTACACAGTACCAGTCGGCCGTAAGCTTTACAATATCTACCACTACTCTTCCGTTTCTAGACATCAACTTCTCCAACAACTACCCCCGACTCTCCACTTTGGTTTATCACAAATCCACGGATTCACACAGCTATCTCTTGTATAGCTCATTTCACTCCAAACATACTAAAAACTCTCTCCCTTTTTCACAGTTCCTTTGGCTATGACGACTATGCAGCGATAACATTGACTTCGAGAACCAAGCCCTCAAAATGTACTCCTTTTCATCAACAGAGGATACCCCAGCAGTGTTATTGACAGGGCCCTTGCCTGAGCCAAAAACGCCCCTCGGACCCTCAACCCAATCAGGAACTCCCGCCGTAAGAACTGCATTCCTTTGGTGCTTCCCTACCACCCTTCCTATCCCCAGGACCATTAACGACAACTTTTCCATCCTACAGGATGATCCCTCCATTGGGGCCCTCTTTTCTGACCGTCCCATCATCTCATATCACCGATCACCTAATCTGCGCAACGTTCTTGTTCACAGCTCCCTTGACCGCCCTCAGCAACCATCCACAGCAGGTACTTCCCTTTGCAACAGAGCTCGCTGTATCACCTGTCAGTACACATCCAACAACACACTCATTCAAGGCCCCTAAGGACAATTCCGGATCACCCAGATGGCATCTTGTACCCCCAGCAACCTTATTTACTGTATCTCTTGCAGTAAGTGCCCAGTTTGTCTCTACATTGGAGAAAAAGAAAGGAGACTTGGAGACCACTTCAGAGAACACATCAGGGCTGTGAAGATTAAAGATCTCTCCAAGCCCATTGCTTCTCATTTCACCTCTGATGACCATGACCACTCTTACCTCTCCGTCTGTGTTCTCAAAGATAGTTTTCCGAACTCATACATCAGAAAGACTACCGAAACCAAACTTATCCTGCAGCTAGGATCACCTTCCCCCTTCTCTTAACGACAGACTACTATTCTACTAAATTTTCTCCATTCATTGGAAGTTTCATTTCACACCTTTCTACACCTATCCTGACTTCACACTTCTTGATTGGCCTCTCTTTCTGTTCCCTGCTCCCTCCTCTAACCCCTCCTCCCTCCCAGCCTTTGTTCTCCCACTACATTACCTTGGCCTACTGCCTTGTCTCTCTCACACCTGAAGAAGGCTCCACGGCCAAAACATTGTGTTTTTTCTCTCTTCCTTTTTCAGCATGGAATAAACCTATTTCTTGTTCCACTGTATCAGTATACCATCTATTGATAGACCTAACTCTATGTGAGAAGCAATAATTGTAATATTACCAAATGCAAATCACACAGTCATTCTTAAGAGGTCTCCAAAAATGTACACCTATACACCTCTTTCTCCAAAAATGTAACTGAAAACCTGTTACAGCCTCTGGACATTGACAGCTATGCAGTTGGAATCTTTTTTCCCCATGCGACAACCTGGAGCCTGAATAGTGGATGCCTTCAGGCTTGTAGTTATATCATTGAGAGGCACCCCTCTTCTCCTGTTGTCCTCCAGAATGTTCTTTTAAGCTACAGCATTAAAATATGAATGCACTGTTGAATGGCTTGATGGATGGGTGGGTTGGAGGAGCTTGTCCACAGTTCTCATTCTACATGTGGGATTGTTGCTGTGTGTAGAAATGTAAATATCCTGGGAGCTTTTTACTGTAGCTACTCATTTAAAAGTCCAAAAGGAAGAAACACAAAAGGATCAAATATATTTTTACTATTACAGTTTACAGGTTCCTGTAGCAATGTGAAGGTGAAATATACAGAGATTAATACCAAACTCTCTTTTAGTGGAATTTCCTAAAACAAGCCTAGCTACAGTATATTTTATGTTCAT